GTAAAGACTTATCTGATGTCAATCGCTCAGATTTTTTAACGAAAACTTGGCTTTACTTTAAGAAATGCTTTTTACTAAAGATCTTGTCTAGAAAGCCAAGTTTTCTTAAAAAATCTGACCGATTGTCATGATGAGTCTTTACAGTGTTGTTGTCACACAATAACTCGTTCGCGTTTGAAGCTGTTAGAGTCGTAGGTGATGTTTACTTCCCTTTATTCGCCTTGAGATCCTTATAAACTTTGTTGAAAATAAAAAGAAATGCTTTTTACTAAAGATCTTGTCTAGAAAGCCAAGTTTTCGTTAAAAAATCTGAGTGATTGACATGATGAGTCTTTACGGTGTTGTTGTCGCACAATAACTCGTTCGCGTCTTAAGCTGTTGTAGTCATTGGTGATGTTCACCAATGTTCACCGATGTTTAAGCTTCTGTTTGATGTTCACCAATGTTCATCAGTGTTTTTCTACTAAATATCGTTTACTTTTCTGTATGTTTAACTTCTAATAAGTTGTATTGGATTGAGGACCAACTCGCCGACGTCTCGACTCGATTTTATACGTCGGCGAGTTGGCGTCGGCGAGTTGGTCCGTTGGCGAGTTGACTGGTTACCCCTCATCCAAGTCTCTTAGAAGGCAACTGTCATTTCCTGAAATATATACGATAATATCACACAAAAATTTGGTAAATTGTATAACAAAACATCATACACTTGACGATTATTTTTTTTTTTTTGTTTCTTAATTGTTTCAAAATTTTCAGGTTAGAAGTAAATTAAGAGGTTTGAAATTGTGTTAAGTTATAACTATGAGCTACAGGATATGATGTGAGTGACACAAATGGTCAGAGGCCACTGACCGGCTATCATGCTTCCAACAATCATCCTGTTTAATGATAGCGTGCATCACCCTGATCTCGATATCATCATTGCACAGAGATTGTTGATGTTTCCCACAAGCTATGGAAATAGGATGATCAATCCGTTATATTACTAAGTACATGATAGTGTCTCTGGTGGATGGTTCTGTTCCAAACATATTCATTTTTCACACAATTTTCATTAACTTGTTTTTTGATAGATAACTTGTGTTTGTTACTTTTATTTTCAAGACAATCTTGCTTTTGATAATGTGCGTGCCATGGAAATTTTCAATTGAGCGGTTGCATGCCTTAATCAATGAGAACTGACTTTTTTAAAAATATTGTCTCACTGGTGAAATTAAAAATAATTTGATGTTGATTTCCTTGGGTTACAGCTTGACAATCATGTGGGTCACTAGGGGAACCACCATTGTCTCAACAGCTAATAATAATGGTGGGGAAAAGAGAGGTTTAATTCAGAAACAAAGGTTGGTAATCAAGCCCACGTCCTTACCATTATCATCAAAATTGCTGCCTTGAAGGGAGGCATGCAGGTAGCAGCTTCCTAAAACATCGGCTATACCCAACAAAGCTCTAAAATAAAACAATGGTGTTCACTTTATTCAATGAAGTGATGGATACACTGATAATATTGACTTGCACATCTCAGCCATTATTCATATATGTTTAACTAGAATCACCTGTCACTTAAATGATATGCATGACTATCATTCCTCACTCTGATTAAAATGGATTCAGGTCAGTGTTGTTTTTATCAATGTCAAGCCAATGCATGTAAAATATTATTGAAATATACAAGAAGTGTACCTTAAGGTATCCATGGCTTTTTTTGTTGCTCTGTATTTGATGAGCACCAATGGAGTGGAGCCCTGATGGCACTGCTGTCTCATCTGGGTTAAGTTTTAAATGATGAAATTAATGACAAGGTAATTGCTTTCAATTGTAGAAATGCACAAAATTTGTCACTTCCAAAAAGTATCATGCACAACCTATTAGTTCATATGACATGTATTTCAAGACTGAACTGTGATGTAACCTTCAGCTGGGGATGATTCACCTGTATCATTTAGTGAGTGGGAAGAATCAATTGGAAATATCTTAACACTATCCATTTTCCATGTCATAATTCTAACACTACAACCTGATGGCTAGCAGGAAAAAAATGAACACAAAACACGAAATTACATGTACATTTGAAATAATTTTGTAAGAACACTATATGGACCCCAAACAGAATTCATTCAGCTGTATTACTAGAATTTAGTTCAAGTTACAGCAATTGACCTTACAAGTTGTGAAATGTCAGTCAAGGAAACAATTGTAAAGTCAATAAGTTCTTTTTTGTGTCCCATGAAGAAACCAGGCCATGAATAGCTGGTGGCTCAATTGAGGTTAGTCCCCAACATTTTATCACATTTCCCTGCAAGTTCTCTGGGTCTAGTAAACAGTGCTGGCTGGAAAGAGGCACTTTGAGAGTAAATGTATCTTATCCAAAGACACAACCTGTATGCATGTATAGCCAGGTCTTGAACCTGAACGCAACACAATCTGGAGTTCATTGTGCTAATGACTAAACCATTACATGTTAATCGTAACCTGAAGAGACTTCTAATGAAAATCTTATCTAAATTCATTCTAAAAAAAACTTCACACACTTACTCCTCATGCATTGGTGCACATAAATGGTGGCACAAGGGGCAGGTCATATGCTACCATCAACCTTCTAAACAACTGGAGGTCGTAGGCAGGTCCACATCTTGGGTCTAATATAACAGTAGGATATTGGAAAATCAATTAGGTACATGTGTTCCTTGCATGACCAGATTAAGATGACTCATTTCTAATTTTTACTTACTTGCCTGTGCACCAACCAGGAGATCCTCCTCCTCCTTCGCTGTTCCTACTAAAAAACAGTACACCTCTTGTTAACTCAATCCCCATTTTTAATATTACACGATTTAAGATATTCACGGTCAAAATGCTTGAAAATACGATTTGAACTAGGATCCGGACTAGTCAATAAGTGACCTTTAAAATTTGTATATAACGGGCTGCATCATTACCTTCCACAGCCTGTGCAGCCAAATTGCGGTCTTCCATTGCTACAGGATAGCAGGTAACAATTGACTCTAGGAAGTTGAGAACACCTTACAGTGAATAATCACATACAAGATAAACAGCACGAACTGACTAGTTTCAGTTCTTAGTGATATGTCTCAATTTATCACAACTCTCATATTCTTTTAATGTATGTGTGCTCAGTTTTTTGTATCTCTTCACTGTGCAATACATGCCACTCCGGTTTGAAACTCAATCCTAGAAATATAATGAGCCGCCTTCATCTTTACCATACAAGCTTTCAACAAATGCCTTGGCTCTTTTCTCTTCACCTTATTGAAAGGGGAAAAAAAAGAAAAACAAGTCCATCTGAACTGCTAAAGTAGTGTTAAAGAATACGTCAGTGCTCCAACAGATAGAAGTAGTTTAGAAAATACACCTACCTGCTGCAATAGGTAATTGTCCTATTAGTGTGGATGAAGGCATTGGGGTGGCCAGTTTCTCACCACTGCTTTAATCTGGAATCCGAAAAAAAATTATTTGGAATCAAATAATATGCAAATGATATTTTAGGGTCCAGCTGATTAACAATTTAGAAATGTTTCCTTGTTTACATAATCTCATCTAAACACAAAAAAAGGGGGGGGGGGAAGAAATTCTAACATTGCATCTAAAATTCTCCCAACCTCCTGAGTGTTAAGATGAAAATGTGAAAGAGTTCTCTGATGCTTTTATAAAACATTTCTCTTTAAATTAAGGAAAATGTTGTTTATTTACTTCTTGACTGATTCGGTTTCTCAATATATGCTCTGAACAATGGTAATAGCTAATCAAATCATGCATCTTACAACCCATACAACGAATCAAAATTCGCGTCATAAAAATCAAAGTCAAGTTGAAATTTGTTGCATACAACAGTACCGTGTACCGAAATTAAAAGTTCCAGCTCTGAAGCCTCATAAATTTGACAGAAAAATGCAGAAATTTTTTTAAAGGATACCATTCCTTTGGGAGAGAATTTCAAGAGGAGGATTTTAATTAAGCTAAAAATGAATCTCACTGTGGATGATTGCTGCTTTTGAAAGTTAAACCTGTGAGTAAAATTTTCATGACCCATTATGAATAACAAAGTTAACAGTGCCAATTTGAAAGTAGTTTTTCCGCCAAGAATGTCTCAGATAAAATCAAATCAAACATGATAAAGAACGACTCTTGTGGGGAATTTTATTACAGAACTTAAATGCGAAAATTTCCTTCGAAAACGTTTTCTGTCTGTGTAATTTTCAGCATATTTTTCTCTGTCTTTGCGTGAGCTCCCTTGAGCAGTTGCTCAGCTCACGCTCCCTTAATTGGTATTAAATAAAGTTTCATTGCTAACTATCCAATAAGTTTTGAACCAATCCAACGTACCTGGTTTTGGAGAGATGATCACAACTTCGTTGCCTCCCGATGCCCCTGTTCTCAACGTTGATTGCCCTGTTAAGCATGAAAAAAAAGCAAGATCGGGTTAAAATAAAGTCATTCTCTTGGAAAGTATAATAGATTACTTACGATCATCTTTTCATAGAAGCTTAAATTTCTGATAATAAATCTATAGCCTTTATTAAGCTAACTGACGGGTGCCAATCACGTCTCCGCCAAGGAATATTCCCCAACCATCGGTAAATGGCGGATGCTCGATCGTCCTAGAAAAACCTTTGATGCTTAAACATGTTATTGATATTTTCATTAATATTCACCTGCTGCACCATCTTGATCTCGATTTGTCATGTCTGAAAATAGACAAGACGTTATTAAGTATAAAAGACACTTAATGATGTAGTTGAGCTGAGTGCTGTTTCGGCACAACACGAACCATAGACCTCATCATAATTTGGGTAAAAATTTCCGCACAGCCCCATACTACTGTAAACAAATCTGTTTCCCCAATAGCAATGTATTGTTTTTGTCATTGTTTTCTCTATCCAAGAACTAAATGCAAAATATAATATGGGGCTGTGCGGAAATTTTACCATAATTTGAAACAAATGTCTCATTGAATGAGAAAGATAGTCGTAAACGTAATTCTACTTGACATTGTCAGGTCAGGTACATATTTTGCCTGCTACTGGTACCCTGTAACCCAGTACTACCTGCCGCAGAACCACCA